ATTTTCGTTTTTCAGACAATCATACATATTTAGGATTACTCTTTGGGTCTGTTCCTCTAAATCTTTATGAAAGACTTCTGCCTGCACAGGTTCATCAACCATCTCCTCGTGGCTTGGAGCATTTTCCCAAGGTCTCCAAAGAGCCATATTTAGGACACACAAGAACAATCAACACAACAATTAAATCAACAAGTAAACTGAGTATTTAAAAGTCAAAAACACACAAACTAATAAAATCTATGAAAAAACACGGACAGACTAAAGAAAACACGTTTATTCACCGCTACACGGCACTGACTAAACTATTTCAATTTTCAGTAGCCACCTGCACTTGTTCGGAGCTCTGAAATACACGCCTTCTCATTGGCTATGTCCACGCATAGGCGTGCTTTACTCCACGTGGACCGGTGAAACTGCCTTTGATCTTATACGGGGGATATTTGCTGCGAAATTTGGCGATTTTTGCAGCAACAGAGCGTGTTAAATATAGATATATAAAACGCACCCGGTATTTCACAGTGTTTCAGGTGACTTCAGATAAAGTATACACTAATGCCTTGACTAAATATAACATAAATAATAATAATTCATTTGCCACGATCTACAAATAAGCAATATAGATATTTGGCTGTAAAAACATTGTGTATTTATTTCATAACGTTTGCGACTATGAAGTCTCTCTGAATAATAGAATGCTATCAAACCAACTCTGTCAAGACTAATAGCTTCTATACACGCAATGAATGATTGATCTAAGTTTGGGGGAGAGCGGGGTGAGTATTCGTTAGGTATGGACTAGCTAGCAGTCTATAATCCAACCATTGGTTCACATCACAATATTTATACTTTTTTGTCACTTTATAACGCTTTTAATTTGTGTGTATGTTGTTGAGTAAAAGTTGTTCATTTATTCATAGTAACAATAATAATGATAATAATAACCAACGTGTCAGGCTGAGCGTGGACTACTAAGGCTTACCTCAAGGTGTGAGGAGTGGCTTGTTCTTAAGGCGGCTCCGCCGAGCCATTTACAAGGGTTCAGCTGCTTCAAAACTGACACTCCATTTTTCAATATTTTTGAATGAAATTCATACAGTATGTTGAGAAGATAGTTGCCCAGGGTGCTATAGGAGCAATTTTGAAACTTTGTTTTTGTACCAGTTTTATGACGGGTTGAAGTGCGCTTTTCTTCTGTTCAATTTCGCGATTTTTTTAAAAAGAACCTAGTAAAAAATGAAAAAGTGGTTCCATAGCACCCTGTGGGGTTTTGTTTTCAGCACTCTGTGAAAATTTCATCCAAAAATATCAAAAAATAAAGCGTCAATTTCGAAGCGCGCAAACCTCTACAAATCGTATCTTGGACGGACTAAGAAAGGACGTATTCAGATAATTTGGTGGCCCTATTTCATGTAACATCGCGTAGATAAGTCGTTCTGCGAATAGGTACTCACAATCGCGATCGCTGATACTCCTCGATTTTAAAGCCGTTTTACTTCCCACGTCATTGGCGAGGAAGTATTGTAATCGCGAAAAATTTCTAAAATGAGGTGTTATGTTTTTTAAGTCATATGAAAAATTGTATCACTCATCAACTTGGAAATAACCGCTCGGATTTTTATGAAATTTCCACACGGGGTTACTAGTATGCCAAAGTTTTGTAGTTTTAATCCAGTGGCAACGGTGCTATAGGCAAAAGAAAAAGACATAATTGCCTAAGGTGCTATCAGAGCTTTTTACTAAATTTATGGTGGGTTGAAATGCTTAATATTTGTGCTCAACTTCTTGATATTTTAAAAAGATCCTATTGGATAAAATGGAAAAAGTGGATCGTTAGCACCTTGTGGACTTTGTTTTTGGCACGCTGTAAGAGTTTCGTCTACTGTTTCGTCCTATCAGTCCAAGCGACGCGACGGTGCGTTCCGACTAAGAAAAAATGTACTCAAATAATTTGATATATTCCAATTCAATTCAATTCAATTCAATGGACTTTATTGTAACACATACATAATTATGTATCCTTACAAATGGCGAAGTCTGGCCAATGGCCATTTATACTTAACCATAAATGTCATGTCAATGCTTATTACTACCTTAAAAATAAAATAAAAAACTGAAAAAGAAAAGGAAAAAGAAGAATGATAGTAAAAGAATAATTAATAAATATGACATAATGCGTACGATTAGAACAAAAAACATAATACGTACGATTCAAAGAGAAGACAATAACCTGAGAGCTCAATAAGTATTTCTTACATTTTGTTTTAGAAAGTTGCTGATGAAACATTGTTCGAAAGAGTTGATCAATTTCACCGCATTATACGTAAAAGACCGTTGAAAAATAATTTAATATAATAATTTCCTAAAATAAATTCAAGCACTCAAATTAAAATTCGTTTATTCATGCCAGTAAGCACAATTATGTTTACAAGGGTCATGTGGTACATGGTAACAATTGAACGATGGTCATAAAAATATCTTATGCCGTCAAAATAAGAGGAAACAGTTAGGTAGATTTTGCAAAGCAATAAACAGGTAGGCTTATACCACAGCCGACGTCAACTACGAGCCGTGATGAAAGAAAGGCAACACCGCGCTCGGACGGCATGGTAGTGCTACCTATGAACGTCGGATATTTCAAAGGTATATTATTTTGGACTGTTCCATCCACGAAAACTATATTTTCTGTCCTGATGATATCCGATTCTCTAAAATGACGACTGCACACGGCTGAATATTTTGAAGGTGTCCAATTTTTTCTGGGAATTGCCATAAGCCATTTGTTTTTCAGACTTTCGGTACTTGGGAAGCGAAAAGTTGAAACATAGCTTTCTGTTTTCAAAGCAGAATTATAGTTTGCATTGCATAAAGGAACACAGCAACAACGAGGCATATTGTCTGCGTCAAATACTTGATAAATGAAAAAAGAAAAATACAACCTGAATTTGCACGTTTTCAATAGTTGAAATCCTTAGCGTCCTGAGGCGCGAACAGCCACAGTCACACTTCTTAGTTTATTTTTAAAGCACAGAAGCACTACAACTGGAGTCTATTTCTCATATATTATAGTCACCGATCACTTTGAACACATACACACACTTTGAAGCTTAGAAAACAAGCTCATCTCTTAATTACAGCCTCTTGGATTCCCAAATCACAAATTGAAAAGGTTATGTTTTCTCAGCGTTTTGAGCACGAGTTGCGTCGATGCAGCAAGCAGCGGCGGGAGTAACACTACCGCCTACGTTGCCAGATTTCTTTGTTCACGGCTCGTAGTTGACGTCGGCTGTGCTTATACCTGGATTAATACATTTCTTGTCTAGTGTAACAGGTAGATGGAGGCGATGCTGCCAGAAATGGATGTGTGCGATCAATAAACAAACCACAAGACTGAACTGTGGTGTCCAATGATTTTTGTATTGCCTTTTTCATTGCCTTATTAGAAAACTCTGTTGGGTATATGATGGAATTTACTAGAACTTTACAGCTTTTTGTCTGCCTTCTTCTACAAACTTCACCAAATCGAGACGCTGTCAACCTTATCCACCGATGGAGGCCTGACAAAGTACAGTCCTGCGATTTGGTGACTTGTTCGATCTGCAAAATCTCGTCTTCACTTTTTTTAAGTTTCCCTAAAAAGTTTCGTTTAGCAACCTCCAAATCAATGTAGCGAATGTCAGGTTTTTGATTGAATTCACCATAAAACTATTGATTTTCTTTGTAATTGCTTTCCGAATTGTTAGTTATTTTTATATCAGCTTTGATAAAAAAAGGCACTCAAGAACAATCACACCAACAACAATTCAACAACACAATATCGACGAACAGTAACAAGTGGAGAAAAATACTAAATGATCACTTGCTGAGTATCAAAATAAGAAACGATTTACATTCTAGATCGCTAATCGAAATCCGACTCTGTTATTTTAAAAATTTACCTTGGTATGCACCCGCAGTTATCCTTTCCTCTTTTGAAGTAACGCCGACGACCGTCTAGGCCCAGCCCACCTTCGTTTCCTTTTCACGCCCCCGTTACCTCAGCAGATGGTGCTCGTGATTGTAGGAGCCCCGTTAACGGAACAGCAGCTTGGTGTGTCGGAGCCCAGGTTGCCTATTTTACTTCCCATTTCCTATATAATGATAATAATAAGCCTTTATTTTTACCTAGCGGATAATCAGTAATGCTGGTCTTCCATGCCAACAGTGTTGAAAAAAGTATATACTTTATCACACAACTACAAGAGTACTTAGCATAAAGTAAAATAAAAAGGAGTGAGATTAGTACAAACACATTGGAAAAATGATTAATGCGTTCGTAGAAGAAACATAAGAGTCTCAAAAAACACTTACAAAGAATTTATTAAAAAAATCAGTGTATCTACTCATCGATTCCAGGTTTAAAAGTACTGAGAGACTTGTTTATAAGACTGGGAGGTATATTGCTGTATAAATTAGATGCTAGATGTAAAGAGGAGCATTTAAAAGCTGTTGTTTTGTGTTGTGGCTTTTCAGAATTCCAGTAGATCGTTTAATTTCGTGTATGTGCTTTTTTAAATTTTTGTGATTGTAGAGTTGTTTATTGAGCTTGTGTATCTTTTTTCATGTTTACTGTTGCTGCTTTCATTTTATTGCTTAATATTGTCAACATTATCTTCTTTGACTTCTGCGTACACGCAATAAAGAATTGAAATTGAAATAAACAAAATTCCTCTGAGCAGCCGCGGTACGCTGGTGTTTAGACTTTTGCATACTTGGCTGCTGGGGCATAGAAAAATTGATACGTTAACGAATAGTAGTTTCTCAATATCATCAATATCTGCAATTCTAGATAATAATCCCAATTTCCCCTATTCTGATTTAATATTTATTAAAAAGTAAAGACAGATGGAAAAGAAAAATGAAATCGTTGAGGGTTAGAACTTTGTTTTATAGTCCTCCAAATATTTCATTTGATAAAACCGTCATAGCTTGCGATATTCAGCTTTGTTGTAATAATGATGTGTCACAATAGAATAGTAATTTATAAGGAATTTTTTGTTTCAGGTGTTGAACTACTCGATGGTGTAGTAATATGCCATATATAGGCAAACCTTTGCCTGAAAAAATTAGTATGGCTTTAGATGAACAGCAAAAACTGTTGAATTCTGGTGAGTATATATTATTAGGTCTTTTCAATACAAACATGAAAAATCTCCATTTTTTATTATGTTTATACGAGATTTGTCTCAAAAATAAGTTTTCCTCATCCTTTTCACCATTGGAAACGTTAATCCTTAAACTACAGCAGACGCTCGATAACGTAAACACGGGATAATGAAAACTTGCGCTAACGTAAACACAAACTTCGTTCTATGGGATCAAACGGAACGCGCGATAACGTAAACAATGTGTACGCTCGATAACGTAAACAACTCTCGACGCACGGAAGCAGCGCGACGGTAAAATGCTGAAGCCTCGATGGTTCATGTCGGGCGTCGGGGAGTCCCCGATTTATGATGTACAGTGTAGGGGATTCACCTCTGCGATAAAATACGACAAACTCGGTCAGTCGTATGATCGTTTAGGATACGTTTATACGTACGTATGTATTTCATTTTTGAGCTTAAGTGAATACATTGCACGCGTTAATATATTTTACGACTATGGCATCGACATCCTATAAAAGAAAGTTGAGTGAGAAAGTGAAAATCATAGACGAAGTTGCCCTAGGCGCGGGAGTGACACAGTTAGCAAAAAAATATGGAGTGTCGAAAGCAATAATCTGTAAAATTAACCGCATGAAAACTCAAATTTTACAAAGAACGTGCAATATTTTACTGTGATACACCACGGACGAATATTTTATGCAGATCCCCAGTAATGGTAATGTGTACCTTATTCAATTCAATCTGTAACAGAGCTGATGTATGTCATGACAGTCTTAATAAAATATTAAACATTTACAGGGAGCAATTGAGATAAAATCGTTTTGTTGATGGTGTAAGTTATTGTTATTCTTCAATTTGAGCACTTTTATGTTTTTTTTTTCTTCTCTTTTTTTGTGAAGTGTTTAATTATTCACCTATGTATTATGTGTTCATTCAGATCACTAATGTTTTTCTATTTTCTTTTTTTGTTATTATTTTCTGATTCATTGTCTATATATATATATATATGTGTATATATGTATGTGTGTATACATATGTATATATATATGTGTGTGTACATGTGTATATATGGTACCATTTTGTTTTGATTTCCTGTGATTGGGTGTATACCTGTTGGAAATAAATATATATTATTATTATTATTATTATTATTAATACATTTGGAGGTCCGGGAAGAAGAAAAACTTTAAAAAATGCGAAGGCACCTAAAATGGAAAATTCCCTGTATAAGTGGTTTTTAAAACAACGGGAAAATCATGTCCCAGTTAGTGGCGAAGTACTTAAACAGAGAGCGAGACTGTTAAATGAAAAACTGAAAGAAACTGAAAATTTCGTAGCTAGTGATGGCTGGCTACAACTATTCAAAACAAGATATGGAATTCGACTGCTGTCTATATCTGGTGAAAAATTATCAGCACAACCACAATTAGTGCAACCATTCAAAGAAAAATTGATGAAAACAATTACCGAGCTAGATTTAAGAATGGAACAAATTTACAACGCAGATGAAAGTAGAGCTGTCACGAACCGTATGTATTCGTTACTGAGTAACGAATAGTAGGAAAGATTCGAAGTACCGAATCGTTACTTTCATAAACATATCGTTACTCGCATGTTTGAAACAGTACCAAAAGACTTATTCGAAAAAATATGTTTATGAAGATATTAAACTTGTTAAAGTGAATCAACTCACATAACAATATCAAATAAAAGCTAAGTGATTGCAGGAATATAATAAGATTTAAAATAATGCACAGCATACAGTACTTCAGTAACGATTTGAATTACGCGGTTATCGCTATCAGCAAGCATCGATGTTATACGCAACCAATACATCACCAAAGTGACCGAAGGTTTGCTATGCGGTCTGGCGGGCTGCTAGACGTACGTATCCTGTATTATATGGGAATATGGGTGACGCATGACGGTTCGGATGTCGTATGTCGTTACTTTCGTATGTTTCGTATGTGATGTGATCTGCTCGAACCGACTTGTGTTTGTTTATGCTGTTGTTGCTCTGTTTGTTGCCACTTGATAGAGTTGTTTGATGGTGAATTCCTTTAAATTTTAAATAGGTAAGTTTTAAATATGTGATATTTATTTTAATAGGATTTGAGGGAGGAATTAGGAGCGTAAATGAAATCTATAAAATAAAATATGAGTACCCACTTAAAAACCTAATATAAATTATAGTGATTTTTTGTATTATTGTGGAATGACCGTAACCGTGTAAGCAACGAATATATATAACAAATCTTTTAAAATCGGGGAGAATTGAATACTTAGATAAATGTACATAATTATGTAGTAAACTGACGGACGATGTTCCTAGTTTGATACGTATTTTTTATGTTGTTTCAGTACTTGCTGTTAAAAGTCTCGACTTCATGGAGGGGAAAAGAAGTAAGATTTGGCAGTTTTTTAGCAAAGAAACAGAAAATAAGGCGAAGTGTGATATATGCCAATGTTCGTATTCGATCAAAGGGGGTTCAACAACAAACTTAAAAAAACATTTAATGACAAAACATCGACCGTCCTATGATAGCGTATTCTCGTTAAAACCTTCAACATGTATATCTAACCAGCCTAGTCAACAACCTGTTAATTTACCAGAATGTTCGCAATTTCAAGCTTCTTCAAATGAACCTAAAAGAAAGAAAGAAGCTCAGCAAACCGACATCGCATTATTTACTAGAAAACCTCTAAGTGCAGCACGAGAGAAAAAAATTAATCATTTGATTTTGAAATTAATATGTTATATGTATAATGTTATGTTATAAATCATAAATTTAAAAAAAAAATTCTTTATTCATATTGCAGTTACATTTCTTTTCCTTTCCCAACTTATTTACAACTACATCAACATTCATTGTAATTTAGTTATGGTATGAATGTGCTGACGATTACCACGCACACATATACAACCGGTATTTAAATTGGTTCTATATTATTCTAGCAACCAAGTAACGAAAGTAACGAGTAACGAATATTTGTAACGAGTAGTCAATCTAAAAGTAACGAGTACATACGGGTAGCGAACAAATCGTTACTTTTACAGGCCTAGATGAAAGTGGCCTTTATTGGAAAATGTTACCAGAGAAAACCTATGCTGCATCATTTGAAAAATCTGCCCCGGGAAGAAAGCCGGAGAAACAACGAATAACGTTTCTAGCCTGCACTAATGCTAATAGTTCACACAAAATAAAGTCACTGGTAATTGGGAAATCAAAAAATCCGCGCTCATTTAAAAATGTTAATATCCCTGTTGATTATGACTGTTCAAAAACCGCTTGGATGACTAGCAGTATATTCCTGATGCTCTATTCATAATTTGAAGATGTGTTTTCAATTTGTAGGTAAAAGGTTTCCTAAAACAACAGAAGTTTCCAATAAAAGCGTTGTTACTATTGGATAATGCACCAAGTCATCCTCCCGAGCGACAACTGAGGAGCAGGGATGGGTCAATTTTCGTCATGTAACACCGTTAATTCAACCGATGGACCAGAATATAATAAGACTCACCAAACTATACTATAGGAAGTTTCAACTTTCGTCTGTCTTATCGAAGAATCCTGAAAACTTATCTGAGGCTTTAAAGAAAGTAACATTACGAGAAGCTGTTTTAGATTTACATATGGCCTGGAATGAACTTAACCAGCAAACTATTCAAAAATGTTGGAACAATCTCTTTTGTACCAATAATGAAGATGTCCCCTTAAGCGTAATTAGAGAACGTTTGCGATCCAATAATGATAATGTTATTAGTGTGTCATTGGATGTTGTTGATTTATTGAAAACAGTGAATCCCAACATTGTTTGTACTCCTGCTGATATTAATTTATGAACGAAGATACGCAGACGAGTGATGCTGATAAGGAGGAGGATATGGACAGTGAGGATGATGAGAACGATTCCATTGAAGTCAGAAGTGTAGTGACTGACGCGCAAGCTATACAAGTTTTTAACCAAGCTTTAGATTGGGCTGAAAGAAAAGAAGTTTCACACACGGATATTTTAGTTCTTCGTAAATTACGGGCGCAGGCATTGGAAGACAATGCTAAGCGCAAATTTACGCAGTCAAAAATTTTTAATTATTTTTCTTCTAATTAAAAAAATACTTATCGCTGTTAGAATATTTGTTTATTTTGTTATAAATAGTATGTATTAAACGTTTCTTTTAATAAATCAAATATTATATAAATCACGTTCGCTAATGTAAACATTTCGATAATGTGATTAAATTAGTTTACATTACCGAGCGTCGGCTGTATTTTCTAGATAGTCACCATTTTTTCTACGCATTTTTTACTTTTACTAACCTTACAATATATTTTAACATCATATTCCTCATCGTTATGCGACGAACAACGACCCACTTTTCAACCTAGGTATCTAATGTACTATCTTTGTCCATAATTACCGTCGATTCTTTTCTCTTGTTGAAATATTATCATTAAGCGCGAACGAATACTTGAAGCGTTTGAAAGTATCGTGAAATGGGAAAAGAAACTGAATTCTTCCCCTTTGAATATCTAATAATCTTTTTAATGGCCGCTTGAGCTCATTTGAGAGTCCTGCTGACGAAACAACACGAAAATTACACCGTTTAACGAGTAAAATAAACAGCGTTTTTATGGCAACCTCAGCGCTTGATTCTGTTAGCCTTTAATTAAGCTTCGGTCGCAGGAAAAAAATATAATAGGATTCCTCTCGATATCCGTCAAACATGATGCAGTTCGCGAGAGAGAAATCAATGATTATATTGAAAAATATTATAATAAACTGCTTTATTGATGGAGATTCTGAAACTCAACCAAACTGAAAGTAAAGCTTGATACTAATTTGACATAAATATGACATTTTTACGTATACAGGGCGTTTCAGTTTATTGTTGCATAACTTTACGATTTGATAGACCTTTTAAAATTAATGCATAAAGATCCTTACGTTTCCTTTTTTGCATGTTGAAATCTTGCTTCTAGATTTGCTTGCACATTTTTACAAGAACAAGAGCTCTACGACTATACAGGGTGTTTCAGTTTATTGTTGCATAACTTTAAGATTCGATATAACTTTTAAAATTACTGCATAAAGTCTATATAAATATGGGTCGAAAAATGCGTGGCTTCCGAAATACAGGGTGTTTAAATTTACTTTCTAAAATAGTTTTTTTTGAATATTTCGAACAATATTTGATGTATAACAGTGAAAATTGGTATACAAGGGTTTTTTGGTACGACAAAACGAACCATGGGCATGGTTTTACTGTAGCCGCTAGAGGGCGCTCTCTACTGTACCTGTAGTGTATTAAAATGACCGAAAAAATTTTCTTAGTGTAATTTTTTGCTTTTTGAATAAAAAAACTGATTCTTCGCACTTTTCAACATAAAAAAGCTCACTTGTGAATTTTCGTTATTGTTATCCGTTTTTGAGATATTTAGATTTTTAAGGTTCGATGCATTTTTAATTATTTATGATAAAATAACGTTAAAAAGTATCTCGATAAGTTTTAGAAGTAGGCTGTGCCTGCAGGTATTCTTGAAATTGAAAGCAGAATAAGGTTAAACGTCAATTAGTTGACAGTTAGTTTTGTTGTCTGTTGAAACCTGAAACGTTTTTTTGCAATTGTGAATGCACGAAATTTAGTTTCTTTTACCTGGTTTTTCTTTGTAAGTTTTATAAAAATGCCATTTTTATTCACCAATCAAGAGTTAGCGGATATTCATTTTGTGTGTGGAAAACAATATTGGAAAATTAAACAAATTAATATTCTGTTTTTTTGTGTTTATTTGGAGTTAGGAATTATTGCTGTGTTTAAAAACACAATCTAAACGATCATCTTAATTACTTGTAATGCACAAATCGAAAATGTAAAAAAAATAAATAATTAAAAATGCATCGAACCTTAAAAATCGAAATATCTCAAAAACGGCTAACTATAACGAAAACTCACAGGAGAGCTTTTTATGTTGAAAAGTGCGAAGAATCAGTTTTTTTATTCAAAAAGCAAAAAATTGCTCTAAGAAAAAAATTTCGGTCATTTTAATACACTGCAGGTACAGTAGAGAGCGCCCTCTAGCGGCTACAGTAAAACTATGACCACGTTTCGTTTTGTCGTACCAAAAAATCCTTGTATACCAATTTTCACTGTTATACATCAAATATTGTTCGAAATATTTAAAAAGAACTATTTTAGAAAGTAAATTTAAACACCCTGTATTTCGGAAGCCACGCATTTTTCGACCCATGTTTATATAGACTTTATGCATCAATTTTAAAAAATCTTAAAACTATGCAACAATAAACTGAAACGCCCTGTATAGTAAGCGATTGTATGTCTATAAATATTTAAACTTGCAAAAAGTGGGAACGAATTACATCGTTTAAACACATATTTCTCGATTGTTGTCGATGTCTCTCGATCACTCCACGAACGCTCCCAATAGTCTGGTTTCCTGAACGCTGATATACGAGGGTGCCTGACAAAGTTCTATTTACGAACGCGTTACAATATTAAACATGTTGTTTTTTTCAGGTCGATCTCAACTTTCCGTAACAATAGTTGAGAGTGGGGGTACTCCAACCCCCGGCCCAATATCCGATCGGAGCAACGAACAACTCCTACAAACTCCTCTAGAGTCAGGTGAGTAGCAAACGAAATTAAAAATCCAGTAAAAAGTTAGCTAGGAACACATGTAATAAAAGGATTAGGTGGATCCCACACATATAACAACGTTTCGATCTAGGAATTTCTTCTGTACTCTACTGATAGTCCGAACAATCTGGCAACGTTAGTATGACTAAGCGGAGGCAGCATAACTTTCTTTTTTTCAAAACTTAATAAAACCCGTTGGTGGCTCTTAAATAGTTTTAAAAATCAAGGTGTCCATTTTCAGTACACTGAGTAAATCGATCTTTGATGTTTGTTATGTTGCCAATTTTTACCTGGATGTTTGTCTGGATCCTGAACGGTTCATATAAACACCTCATAGAAAAGAATCACAATGGGCCAAATCGGGAGAACGAGCCGGTACTATAGAGGGTGGCGCATCGAAAACGAAACAGACGCATTTACTGACAGCTCAGTCTTTTTTGGAAAAACGCTCAGACCCGTCGATTTTGTTCTCGAGGGGGACACAAGTTTAGCAAAAAATCACGTTAACACGTGCAGCCCCCTGGGCGGGGGTGACATCAACCCTAAAATCTTAAATGGAAAGGGGGGGTCGAGTGATACCTTAATTTAAAGGTCTTTCAATTCCCTTTTTAATGGTGTAAAATACATGAGCTTCAGTTCAGTAGTTTTGAAGATTTATTGATTTAAAGCTTAAAGTAGACTTTAATAGGTACATCAGATTAGTTTGTACTAACACACTAGAATAAGGACGCATAAAAAATAAATAACTACAAAAAATTCCCACAGTGACCATAAGAAAGGCAGAAATTCAACAATGGCTCCTATCAAAAGACATTAGTTTCAGTGAAAAAACCATAGGACATTGAAAGTTTCTGACGTGAAAAATTTGTTTCATGTAGACGTCAAACCATTCGAAAGATTGCATTCGTCGAAACATCTGAATAATATGATCTATAACACTGATCAACAGCCAAAAAATATCCTAAATAAAATCAACAAAATATTACTATTTTTAATGTGCTAAAACCGGAATGAAACTTATTTTTTCAATGTTAGTTCAAGTTTTAGAGAT